AGCTGCACGCAGGTTTATCTGTAAGGATAGACGGAAACAGCAAAGTTTTGTATTCCTCAATTCATCAGTGTAAAACTACGTTTTCCATTTGCTGCTTCCTCTAGACTCATTTTTTATGCCACATCAGGAGGAAAAGATCAGTCAGGGAACAGGAAATCAAGCTTAAGAAGGAAGGCAAAGAGCTCACAAGGAATAATGACCAGGTAAGTATGTAAAGATCCCGAAACGAGATATAGGGATGTATTCTCAGAGGAGACAGAAAGGTTTCTAGCAAAGTGAAGTGGTAGAGTATACAAGAAGTTGCTAGATAAACTGTTCACGGCTGAGGAGGAGGTGAAGAAACTGCTGTATTCGAAAGTGGTTTGTCAAGATAATTTTTCTCCAATTTTCTAGAGAGAGGAGCCAGAGGAACTGTGTGTGCCGCTAGCAATAATCTTCAACAAATCTATCGAAAAAGGGCAATTGGCAGAGATGTGGAAAACAGCAAATGCAGTCTCCGTTTTTAAGAATGGAGACAGACAGGGAGCATTATACTACAGACCAGTGTCATTATTTATTTATTAACACATCGGCCGTTTCCCACCAAGGCAGGGTGGTTCCCCCCCCTAAAAAAAAGCTTTCACCATAATTCACTCCATCACTATTTTGCTCGCATACATTACAGTTATAAAACTACAACATTAACACCGGACCTTCAGAGTGCAGGCACTGTACTTCCCATCTCCAGGACTCAAGTCCGGCCTGAAGGTTTCCCTGAATTCCCTCATCAAAATTACCATGCTCACACTCAAACAGCATGTCAAGTCCTAAATATCATATGTCTCCATTTGCTCGTATCTAATACACTCATGCATGCTTGCTGGATGTCCAAACCCCTCGCATACAAAACCCCCTTTACCCCCTCCCTCCAATCTTTCCTAGGCCGACCCCTACCCCGCGTTCCATCCACTACAGATTTATACACTCTCGAAGTCATTCTATTTTATTCTATTTTGTTCTACCCTCTCTACATGACCCAAGCACCTCAACAACCCTTCCTCAGGTCTATGGAAAATAGTTTTGGTAATCATGCACCTCCTTCTAATTTCCAAGTCACGAATTCTCTGCATTATATTCACATCACATTTTGCCCTCACACACGACATCTCCACTGCATCCAGCCTTCTCCTTGTTGCAACATTCACCACCCATGCTGCACACCCATATAAGAGCGTTGGTATAACTATACTCTTATACATTCCCTTCCTTGCTTCCAAAGAGAAAGTTCTTTGTCTCCACAGACTCTTCTATGCATCACTCACCATTTTCCCCTCGTCAGTTCTTTGATTCCCTCATCTTTCATAGACCCATCTGCTGACACATCCACTCCTAAATATCTGAATACATTCACCTCCTCCATACTCTCTCCCTCCAACCTGATATCTAGTCTATCGTTACCTATTTTTTTCGTTATCCTCATCACCTTACTCTTTCCTGTATTGAATTTCAATTTTCTTCTTTTACATACCTTACCAATCTCATCTACCAACTTCTGCAGCTTCTCTTCATATTCTCCCAAAAGCACAGTGTCATCAGCAAAGAGCAACTGTGACAATTCCCATTTTGTGTTAGATTCTCTATCTTTTAACCCCAAACCTCTTGCCAACACCCGAGCATTTACTTCTCTTACAACCCCATCAGTAAATATATTGAACAACCATGGTGACATCACACATCATTGTCTAAGTCTTTCTTTTACTGGGAAATAATCTTCCTCTCTCCTACATACTCTAACCTGAGCCTCACTTTCCTCGTAAAAACTTTTCACTGCTTTCTATAACCTACCTCCTATTCCAAACATTTGCAACATCTGCCATATTGTCCCCCGATCCACCCTGTCATACGCCTTTTCCAAAGCCATAAATGCCACAAAAATCTCTTTACGCTTATCTAGATACTGTTCACCTATATGTTTCACTGTAAACACTTGGCCTACACACCCCCTACCCTTCCTAAAGCCTCCTTGTTCATCTGTTATCCTACTCTCCGTCTTACTCTTATTTCTTTCAATAATAACTCTCACATACACTTTACCAGGTATACTCATTAGACTTATTCCCCTATACTCTTTACACACTCTTTTATCCCCTTTCCTTTTATAAAAGGAACTATGCATGCTCTCCTCCATACATTTATTAAATAAAGGCACAAACCACTCCAAAACTATATCCCCGCCTGCTTTTAACATTTCTGTCTTTATTCCATCAATTCCAGCTACTTTACCCCTTTCATTCTACTCACTGCCTCATGAATTTCCTGCACACTCACAACTCGCTCCTCCTCACTCCTACAAGATGTTATTCCCCCTTGTCCTATACACGAAATCACAGCTTCCCTATCTTTAAACCTCTAACTCTCCATTTAATAACTCTCCTCTTCTATTTTTAACAATTAAATCCATTTGTTCTCTAGGCTTCCTTAACTTGTTAATCTCACTCCAAAACTTTTTCTTATTTTCAACAAAATTTGTTGATAACATCTCACCCACTCTCTCATTTGCTCTCTTTTTACATTGCTTCACCACTCTCTTAACCTCTCTCTTTTTCTCCATATACTCTTCCCTCCTTTCATCACTTCTACTTTGTAAAAACTTCTCATATGCTAACTTTTTCTCCCTTACTACTCTCTTCACATCATCATTCCACCAATCGCTCCTCTTCCCTCCCGCACCCACTTTCCTGTAACCACAAACTTCTGCTGAACACTCTAACACTACATTTTTAAACCTACCCCATAAATCTTCTTCC